CAGCCGGCGGTGAATATTAGCTTCTTTATAACAAAGATCTGGCCCGCGGACACAGCCGCAGATTTCATTGTTCGACTCTCGTGAACCGTTGAAGGTGAATTCACCAGTGGCTTGTAAAAATAAAATTGTACATTATGTCAAGGCTGTTTTTTATCCTGGAACATTTTTATTGGATTCAGAGGCGGTGACTGGAACACAGGAATGTTACTGACAAAGGAGCGCACCGCTGCCTCCAGGCCACCAGGTGGAATGAAATCACACCTTACCTAACTATTATTATACATACACACTTACATATATATATATATATATATATACATATATATATATATACATATACATTTATATACATACACACATACACATATACACACACATATATATATATATATGTATATATATATATATATATATATGTAAGTGTGTATGTATAATAATAGTTAGGTAAGGTGTGATTTCATTCCACCTGGTGGCCTGGAGGCAGCGGTGCGCTCCTTTGTCAGTAACATTCCTGTGTTCCAGTCACCGCCTCTGAATCCAATAAAAATGTTCCAGGATAAAAAACAGCCTTGACATAATGTACAATTTTATTTTTACAAGCCACTGGTGAATTCACCTTCAACGGTTCACGAGAGTCGACCAATGAAATCTGCGGCCGTGTCCGCGGGCCAGATCTTTGTTATAAAGAAGCTAATATTCACCGCCGTCTGCTCTTCGTGAATGTGAGTGACATCTGCTGGTAACCTGAGCTGGTGGTAGCGCCACCTGTTGATGTGATACCACCACGCTCTCTCTGTTCTGCAGCCAAGGTATGTCGCCCTTTGGTCAGGATTTGCACCGTGCTGGGGTTTTACTGGGTCAAAACATCTGACTGAAGAAGAAGAGGACGAAGAGGAGGAAGAATCCTCTCCCCTGGACCGAGGACGTCGTTACCTTCTTCTACGGTTTGTGGGTTTTGTTCTAACAGAAGGGAATTTTAAGAAGCAGAAAATCCCACAGACCTGCCTGGACGTCTACAGTGTGTGGTCTTTAAACCCCCCTGATTCCTGGGCGCCACCTAAAGGTGAAGTGTGAAGTCACACATCTGTGTATTCATGAAAAAAAAAAAAGAAAATCTGAAATTGTCATTCTCAGACAAATGTAATTTTTGTTCTTTTATTTATTTTTAAGGATTTATAAATGACTTATTAAAGATTAGGTGCTGACCTATGTTCCCTTTTATTCCCATAATTCATTGCAGGAGAGCGTCCGTATAAGGCACCAAAAAACGTCCCTCTGTCCAGGACGTGGACGGACACAAAGACCTGAGGAAGTGTTTGTGGAACTGGTTTAAAAATGATTTTAACGACAAATCAGTGCAGAATCAACTGGTTTAATGAACGATTAATTAATAACTGCAGGAGACACAAAGGTCAGAGAGAAGATGAGCAGCAGACTGAGGCCTTATCGCCCCCACCTGTCGTCCACCCCCCCCCCCCACCACACCAATGCAGCGGAACTCCCATTCACCTGGGCCTGACGAGGAGAAATAATTGGCTCCAGATTAGAACTTATCTGTCCACTTCAGGAGGCTGTCACTCAGATGTTCTTCTTCCTCCGCCTGTGCGTGTGTGTGTGTGTGTGTGTGTGTGTGTGTGACTGTCGCGGCGCTGCCCTCACATCACATCACAGACACCTGTCTCCTAACGCACAAATCTCTGTGCGAGTTGAGAAAGATTGATTCGAGTCATGACTTCACTTCCTGAGTGGAAGCCAGGGATTAGATCAAATCCATTTCTGCAGCTCTGGACCACAGCAAAGGTTAATTGAAGCA